CATATCGGCTGGAGGGACCGGCTCTATCGCGTCCTTCGCCAGCAGGACTGCGATTTCCGCTCGCAAGATGGGAGCATCCTTGTTCGGCACAGAGGTGAACCGAAGCGATTTCGGCTCGCAAGATGGGAGCATCCTTGTGCGGCACAGAGGTGAACCGAATGCCCCTGGAGGCCCGAATGAGATGCTAGACCCCGCCCTGTCCGAGGACTCAGTCACCTCATCGCAGAACACCAGAGGGTGCGATGTGCTGGAGGAGTGAGGGGCCCGTGGAGACGCACTCGATGGGGAAGCCCTCATTGTAATCCTCAAATCGCCCTGGCCACACGCCGAAGTAGTCTGCTGCTGGGAGGAACTAGAACGGGGCATGGGGAGGGGAACTCCTCCTCGTTTGATGAAGAGGAGCCTCGACCGCAACATCGCGATGGTCATGTCCCCGCAATGAGAACATGATTCATCCATGAGCGCTGCCTCAGCGTACTCAAAGCCCAGGCACGAGATGCAGCGATCGTGACCATCAGATGGAGTCAGGTAGCGACCACATCCAGAAACACACGAGTGGAAGGCCATCTTTAAAAAGACGCCGCGTAACTCGTGGAGCTCTTTTAGATTTGCTCTTTTAGAAAGAAGGAAGTGTTGAAGCGCCCAGGAGAGGTCGCAGAGCGACCGCAGTTTGACAAGCTGCAGCACACCGTCCAACACCAAAGGCAGCAGCACTGGACCAGCAACCTCCGCTGACGCGCCGTAACACCAACACTGTGAAATGCTGTCTTTCAGACACTCTTGCTCGGTTGAAGACACAAGCTGAAAGGCTCGGCTCCGAAGCGAAAAAGCTGATTGTGCGACTGCACACGCTCTCCTTATATACCCGCGCTACGGGGCTGGGTGCGTGACGCAAAGATCGCACGCCAACACTTTTTGGCTTGTTTTGTTAACACTCGAAGGTGATTGGTCTCTCTAGCGAGATCCCAATTAGTCAGTCACTGATGTAACTTGAACGTGACTGACTGAAAGGGAACTGAAAGCTCTCTGACCCTCCATAGACCGCAAGGATATTACCACGATCAACGCACAGAAACATAGCAAGGACATCGGTAAAATAGTCCATGTGACATCAGGGGTTCAACCATAATTTTACGAAGCTATACGAGAATACTTTTTGTGCGCAAAGAAAACAATAATAACATAATTTATTCAGCAATTCCTCTCCCCGAGTTACCGTCTTCCGCCATTTTGCAGAGTACCCCAGAACGTAATTAGTGTTGTTTTTACGTTCATTATGCGCATGCTTTTGCTGATTGTAATCAGCGTTGTTTATGTTCAGTAGACAGCGCGCACGCATGCTGAACGTAAAAAACGCTCATTGTTTTCTTTGTGTGTAACCTTTCATTTAATATCGCTCAACTTTCATTTACAGTTTTTTTCAACTGCTTGCACACATTTTCAAAACTTTGCCTCTTTTTTTTCAAAACTTTACACACAAATCCAAGTATTGCACACACAAAATGCAAAATGCCTCACATCTCTTGCAAAATGAAGCACTGCATTTAAAATATCACAAACACATCTCAAACACATTTGCAAACACCTTTGCCATAATATTAATTCCTGTTAGATTTTTGTGTGTTACATAGAGAATTGTGTGTGTTTTGCAAAAAGTGTTTTATGAAATTGAAAACTGAGTCAAAGGCCGAGAATTAGTGTATGGTTTTGCAGATTTGGTGTGTGTGGTTCTGGTGTTTGAGTGTCAGCTTTCAGAAATTGTGTGACAAGTAAAGATTTTGTGTGTAAACAGTTGAAAAAAACTGTAACATCTCTCCACGTCTCTGCAGTGATTCAGGATGTGGAAAACTCCTCTCTAGAAGGACAGTACCACAGTTTTGCTAGTCTGATGGAGGAGCGGTTGGCAGAGCTCTTCATGGTAGCTCACCAGCAAGGCGTCCGCTTCAAGCGGGCAACAACAGTGGGCAGTTACACTGTCCAGGTATGACCTAATAGAATTGAAAGTGCTAATTTAGCAAAGTAATTACGAACAAATAATTCTGTAAAATAGAATTAATTTTAGAAAACACATTCACATGCTATAAGAAATGACTCAGCCTAATTGTACCCAACTTTAGTAATTTCTTACTTTATTAATTAGGTTATGTGAATCTGTTTTCCAGAATTAATGCAACATTTGTATTGTATTGTATTGTATGCAACTTTGTAACAGTAGGTGGAGTGGGTGGGGTGTAACATGGACAGAATTTCTCCTTGAATTTCTGCACAAATCCAATTATAAACCAGCAACAATTGCTTTAAATTTTCACACAGAAACTTATACTCTACAACTACTTCTGTTGCCTCAGAAGGGGTTCATGCATGATAGTGATTTCACCCCTGTTGCTCATTTCTAATTAATTAATCTTACAGTGTCACCACACCCCCCAGTCTCCCTCCTGTAGGTTATTTGATGGAAAATATTCAACTTTTAAGGTTTACCAAATGAAAATGTGCCTACAGGAAGTGATCAAGCTGTGTTTCATTGTATTCAGATGGTTAGTATCAGGCGTGTACATGGGCCAAAAAACCCAGCTGAGATGACCTACTACGTCCAGCAAAATGGGACCCCACTGCTTGGCACATCTGCAGCCAAGCTTCTGAACACAGTGGACTCGCAGACCATGGCGCTCACGCTGGGATACTTTGTCCAACTGCAGGCTGAAGGTCAAAATTACTTTATCTTCTCTACTTACTAGAATTATATACATTTTTGACCCACTTCGTATTGTGTCTTAAACTACTATGTACTTAATTAAAATTAATCATCTAATACCATGCACAATTGTGTACATACCTGTATTTTTTACGTTGTACTTATATTTAGAAATATTGAAAAAAAATCTGAATTTATATCTGTAATAATTTATGTAGTTACATCACTAAATTACACTGTCTACAGTACCCCTACATCTTAACCAACCCTTAAGCCTAACCAAACCACCAAACCTGTCGATAACCTTAACTGTACACCACTTCAATAGCACTTCAACAAGTGATTTGCAATTCAAAATGAACACAATAGGTAGCAGTTATTTATTTATTTATTTTGCATACTGTAAGTAAAATAAAAGTACATGTAGTTAAAGACAACTACAGGTGCATCTCAATAAATTAGAATGTCGTGGAAAAGTTCATTTATTTCAGTAATTCAACTCAAATTGTGAAACTCGTGTATTAAATAAATTCAATGCACACAGACTGAAGTAGTTTAAGTCTTTGGTTCTTTTAATTGTGATGATTTTGGCTCACATATAAAGTGGGACCAAAATTTTACTTACAGGAATGTTACTGTATGCAGAATTACTTAATTTACAAAAGATTCACTTACAAAAATATAGATATGTAACTAAGGATACTTTTTTCTCCAACTGAGACATGCAAAAATGTTATCAAATTATTTGTTGTGGTGATCAGCATTATGATAGATATCGTATACTGTTGGCAAAGCTTTATTTAAATCAAAACCAGAACATTTCATGTGCCTCCATTACACTATTATTGGTTTATGACTCTGTTCACATACTACATCTTTGGTTTCACTTTGTTTTGATGTTTGCTTTAACACATTGTGTTGACTATAAGTAATGTTGCACCTACATATTAGTAGAGTGGTAGGGTTAAGGTTAGATTAAGTTTTAAGATTAAGGCTTAATAGTCAGTAGAATGTCTGTTGGGAGACCATCACAATAAAGAGTTAGATATTAAGCAGACAGTCTACTAACACTCTAATGAGAGTTAGTTGACATGTAGGTGCAGGGGCACCGTAAATGGGGGGAAGGTTAGGATGATTGTAAGGGCCCGACGATGGAGCGCGATTGATTTCTACCAAGGGGAACGCGATCGCGATTTGTACCGAGGGGAACCCCCGGGATGCGATTTACCGAGGGGAACGCGATCTGTACGGCGGGAGAAAACTGATTAAATGTAAAATTGCTTAAAACCGATAAATGATTATAAATATTCTTGCTTTTATTAAACATCAATTACATTGTTAATGTTAAAAAAATAAAATAAAATAATGATTGTGATATTTATTTAACCTGGATTATAAAAAGTCACTTACAAAATTATTGGGTAACATTTTATTTTGATGGACCCTTTTGAGCATTTTTTTGACTTTAAGTAAATTTGCACCTACATGTCAACTAACTCTCATTAGAGTAGACTGTCTGCTTAATATCTGCTAACTCTTTATTGTGATGGTGTGATGGTGAAACCAATTATTGTTGTAGAAACAAAATATTTTTGTCAAAATATTTAAGCAACACAATTTGCATGATAGTTTAATATGTAAAAGATTAACAGTGTTTCCCACCATGCAGCCGTAGTGAAGAATCCACCCAACAACCTGTGGATCATCGCTGCAGTGCTAGCACCCATCGGTGTGGTGACCCTCATCATCATCATCATCACCACGGTGCTGTGTCATAAAAACAAGAGCGATTTCAAAAGCGATCCCATTGGAAACTTCAACCCTCGAGTCAAGGTACGGCAGTGACTGGATAAACATCCTGCTTGACCATTTCCCATAAGGCACCGCTTTGCTCTTTAACTCTCTCATTATAACTCATGCTATTTTGTACACTCAGCATATTTTACAGTGGCTTCATCAACGGTTTTTCTCAAACTCTTACATGCTTTGCTTGCTTTGCCTCTGGGAATACATCCCGAGAGAGTGTATGAGAGAGAGATAGAAATGATTGATGATCTTCATGCTGTTTTCTCTCATTTAGACTGCTTACTGGAGAGACGTGGGTTATTACCCTCAGGTAGTTATTCAGCTCTTCAATCATCTCACCTGCTGCTCTGGACTCCTGATGTGCACACAGTGTTAAGGATGATGTGTAGAGTAGACAGGTCTCAGGGACAAAGTACTAATGATAGTGCACAATTAAAGGGTTAGTTCACCCAAAACAGTCAAATTATTTCGTCATTGACTCACCTGTGTGTCATTCCAAACATGTATGTCTATATTTATTTTGTGGAACATAAAAGGAGATGTTCAGTGAAGTGTGCTGGCTGCTTTTTCCATACAATGAAAGAGAATGGAGACAGGAATGTAGAGTTTCAAAACGAACACTTCATGCTTTCATTGTATGGCAAAGAGCAGCCTTGACATTCTACAAAACATTTAGAAATTCGTACAGATTCTGAATGACATGATATGATATGATATTTACTGAATTGAACAAAATTTTGTGTGAACTATTCCTATGAACATTATGTCAATAGTATTTTTTTTCTAGATTAGGACCTGATTGTATATGTGTGTGTGTGTGCATGTATTTGTGTGTGTTCCTTTGCGTGCTTGTATGCCTAAACAAGCTGAATATTTTAGGAATAAGTTCAGAAATCCTCTGATGATTTAGTTGGACGTAGGCTAGCGGGACTGTGGAAGGGACAGAAACCTCTTTGTTATAAAAATGCATTTAATACATCAATTGTGTAAAACCATAAAACATCTATCCTCCTCTCTAAAAGAAATGCAGACAGCAGCACTTATTTAAAAATGTCAAATATGTCTTATTTATTAGGTATAATGATCTGACCTGCTTTTTCCCCATATACACCCTCTGGCCTCGTTTATCATTTGCTATGACTGACAAACTACTGCCTAAATTTGGCTTGACCATTATAGAATGCCTCCTTGCCTTCAGTTATACAGTAACTGAGGATTTGCTATTTGCAAAACATGTGCAGTGTATTATAATTATTATTAGAATATATTTGCAGGGCTGCACAGCCGTGCTGCTCCGGGTGTGTGTTCACGGTGTGTGTGTGTGTTCACTGCCGTGTGTGTGCACTTAGGATGGGTTAAACGCAGAGCACTACTTCCTAGTATGGGTAACCATACTTGGCCACATGTCACGTCACTTTCTTCACATTAGTTTTCCGGACAGCAGTGCCAGGCCAGTAGTTTCAGGATGGCTTACAGTTATGGGTTAAGATCAAAGCCAGTGACAGCAGTGTCACTTTTTGAACCAATACCTTGTCTGAAATTTTTTTTTTTTTTAAATGTTTAAATAAACATATCTTTATTGATTTGATATTCTAAAATGAACTTAACTGAGATATTACTTGCTTTGTCTATGGCCATCCACCTGTTTTGTTCTGTTTTTTTTTGTTTTTTTTTCAGTGGATTATCCAAATGGTCTATTTCCAATGAATTTATGTTTCTGTTATTATAAATTATTTGACAAATATATGTTTTTAATCATCTCCAACTAGTTGTAAAATTAAGAGATGGAATTGCTTAGAATTTGTGACATTTAAGTGTATTAAAATATATAGACCTTTATATTTTTTCTGTATTTAGATTCTCAGCACATAACTTTAGCAAGGGTAAAATAGTTCTGAGAGCAAAATAAAATTCAATGACATTAACAGAAAACATCTAGTTAAGTGGCAAACAAGTAAACATTTACTACACATGTAACTTCCCCTGTAAACTATCAACCCCAGAGTGCTGTCCTGGCATTGCTGTCCAGAAACTGCTGAGACTCAATACAACTTTGGCTGGATAATGTTAGAAGAGAAAACAGACAAAATGTCTGAGATACATTTTGCAGGATTGCTTTGCAACAGAACATAGTAGCATTGTTGCCATATTGTAAAATAACTAGTCTAGAAATGCTGCTGTATATTAGGTGATATTTCTATATGGCATGACCCCAAAAATGAAAAATCAGAGTCTAAATTAAGGATTAAGAGTGTTAATTTATTCCTGTCAGTCATATTTTAAGGATTTAAATAGCTCATTATCTCATTCATGTGACAGCATCCTTAATTTCTAATTTGTATATTTAAATAAATTCATTAATATCCACTAAATTCCCCCCAGACTACTTAATTAATCAGAATTTGAGTAAAGTCTCATCTTCAAGGCCCTCCATTGCTAAATCTGTTTACCTTCATTAGATCTAAGGATTATATTAACATTTGAACTCTTGAACTTTCCTTGGTCTAATCCAATGTAGTCAGATTGTTCCAGTTATATAAATGAGTTCTTTATTTGAATGAAATTGAATACTTTTGATGGTATCACATAAACCCCATTTTTAGCGATGCATTTTAGCGATGCATTTATTGAACCATTAAAGGGGTCATATGATGCTGCTAAAAAGAACATTATTTTGTTTATTTGGTGTAATGAAATGTGTTTATTCGGTTTAAAGTAAAAAAAACACATTATTTTCCACATACTGTACATTATTGTTTCTCCTCTATGCCCCGCCTTTTTGAAACGCGTCGATTTTTACAAAACTTTAGTCTTTGCAACTTTACAGATCTTCTTTATGCACCAAGAGCTTGTAACACTCCAAAGAGAAAGGAAAAATTGAAATCGCATCATATGACCCCTTTAATATTCACAGGATGCTAACAAATTGTATTTTAATAGAGCAGTCATGTTTTTGACAACACATACTGTATACTTTTTTTAAATATATGCCTGAAATATATAGTCAAAACATTTGTCCAAAGGAATGCACAACCAGATAATTGTTTTGGTAGTAAAACAAAACAAAACCCATTTATTTAAATTTTTTGACCAGTTAATTTAGATGTTACCATTTTACAGTGTGGTGCATATAAAAATAACCTTCGTGTCTGTAATCAAATATGTGAATGTTTGCTCATTGCTTAGCATGTTCAGGGGTTTGACTATGCCAAGCAGCACCTGGGTCAGCAGGGTGGTGATGAGGAGACCCTCCCGGTTATCCAGGAGACTATGGTTCTGCCCCACCCCATTCGAGATGCCCCTCTGTCCCTAGATAAACCTGCACGCCAAGATGGATCCACTTCCAAGAAAAGCCTGAACAGTGAGATAAGGAAAAGGTATGTGTGAAGAAACCTGACACTTATGGCATGCTGTAAATACTCAGTATTCATGTCACAGCCCTAACAGTAATGCTGTCATTTGCTGTTATTTGGCACAGGCCCACAAAACTACTTGTCATGGAAGACATAAGCTAGAGTAGATGCTATACAGTGTTCAAGACAGGGTGAGATTACATTTACATTTAGTCGTTTTGCAGACGCTTTGGGGAATACAAGCGATTCTTCGTAAAGAGGCAAACAGACACAGGAAGTGCTTGTAATACCAAGTTTCAGGCATTTGTTCAATTAATTACAATGGAGATAATGGATATAGTGACAGAGACTTGTTTGGTAATTGCTTTTAAAATAAAATCAGTGCTCAGGATGTCAGTATGATCTTAACACTGTTAATGAGATCACTGGCCTCTTAAAAATGTGTCTGATAGTTAAGGTGACTGACTATTAATGAATTTCATATGGTTGGATGAGCATACTGTAGCTTTCAGTTAGTTTCATTAGAAGTGTGATATAAATGGATCTTGCTTGAGGCAAATTATTCTCAGAGCAGAAACTTTGACTTAAGTGGATATGTTCTTGATTTAAAGCATTTATCTCTGAAAAAGTTGAGATATAATTTCTGGAGAAATGCATTTTTCATTTTCATGTTCAGCTGAATGATATGTAAATCACAAACTACACTATTGATCAAAAGTTTGGATAATATTTGGATATTATATAATACGATTTTTTTTTTAAAGAAGTCGCTTATGCTCACCAAGGGTGCATAGAACTGTTTAAAAGAACAGTTTTCGATTTGATTATATTCTAAATGTAACTTATTCATTTGATGCAAATGTGAATTTTCAGCAGCCATTACTCTAATTTTCAGTGTCACTTGATCCTTCAGAAATAATTCTAATATGCAAATTTGGTGTTTAGGAAATATGTGTTCCCTATCGATACTTCACTCGTACTACGTCTGTTTAAGACGCTTGGGGAAAACTCCTTTTTCTCCGATGACCGATGCCTTTCAATAACGCAGTGTAACTGCACGACCATTGGTTCGTGCAGTGAATAAAAAAGGAACCAATGGCTCGGCAGCAGAGCTGCACGAGCCTATGTCGGTAAAGCCCGCCAAAGCCCGCCAGAATGGGCGGGGTCCTCTGGCTATATAAGGGGCACATCGCCATAGGATCCTCAGATTATTCTCCTTCAGCGACGACTACTAGATCTTCGCTCTACGAGACTACGAAGCCTTTGCCGTGATCAAGCCTCACAGCGGATCGAGAGACCCCTTCCTGCTCGGCCATTCTCTCCACTTCATGCCGCCACGCGCTGCAGCAGTGACGGTCTCCAGTTCCCTGCCGCTATCCGGCGATATAAAATAACAAATTTCAAAGAGCAAATTTTCGGCGTTGTTTCAAATGCCGCGCTGTTACTGTCGTTCGTGCAGGGCCCCCCTGCACGCCGTTGACGGTCACAGTGAGTATGTTTCATGCTTGGGCGCCGCCCACGCTGAAGCAGCACTCATTGAGACGGAATGTTCTCATTATGAGGATATGAGTCTCGCCTCTCTGCGCTCGCGGAAAGCTTTCTTTTCAGAGAGCGACTCCACCCCTCGCGCCCTCCCGCTTTCTTCCTCCCAGGAGCCTGTGAGGAAAAAGCAGCGGGGCAGAGGAACTCAGTGCTCGGTGACGAGTGAGCCCACGCCGGCTGAGCCCCCATGTGCCTCACTCTCTCGGCTCATAGAGGTTTCTCCAGTCCACTTCTCCCTCCCAGACCAGCGTCCCTCTGCGGCTGCGAGCGATCTGGTCTCATTTGGAGGAAGCGAGTGTGACGCCATGGACGACAGCATGTCGTTGAAGGCTTCAGATGTGGAGGAGCTGTCGGGCTCGTACGTCGACCCCGCCCCCTTGCCATCTGCACAACCCAGCACAGCCAGCACGGGCATGGATGCCGAGCTTTTCCGCGTCCTGTCTAAAGCGGTGGAGGAGCTGGGTTTGGAGTGGTCTCTGCTGGAGGAGCCACCTGCAGCCGCCTGGATGAGTGGTTCTTGCCGGGGCGCAGTCAGGCCCCCCTACAACGAGCTTCACCATTCTTTCCGGAGGTCCACGACAAGATCACCAGGTCTTGGCATGCCCCCTACTCGGCCCGCCTTCTTGCCTCATCTTCGTCCGCCCTCACATCAGTCGACGGCGCCAAAGAAAAAGGTTAAAACAGACTGCCTCCCCTGGATGAGTCAGTGGCCGCGCATCTCTGCCCGCCCACGGCCATCGGCTGGAAGGCAAAGGCGGCCCACCCGTCCAAGCCGTGTAGGGCGCCTTCGGCTCTCGCCCGACGAGCCTACTCGTCTGCTGGACAAGCAGCCTCAGCGCTTCATTCTATGGCGGTCTTACAAGTCTTCCAGGCCAAGCTCCTCCATTGCATGGACGAGTCCGGCCCAGACCCCCCGGCTTTTAAGGAGCTGCGCAGTGCGACCCCGACCTGGCTCTAAGCGCCACCAAGATGACAGCGCAGGCGATTGGCAGAACCATGACCAGCCTAGTGGTGCTGGAGTGCCATCTATGGCTAAACCTGACGGAGATCAAGGATGCGGATAAGGTCCCCTTCCTCGACTCCCCGGTTTCCCCTACTGGCCTGTTTGGACCTGCAGTTGAAGGCTTCGCTGAACGCTTTACCGCTGCACAGAAGTCCGCATTCTGAATTACCTCAACGACTGGCTCATTCTGGCCAGAGCTACTATCTCACAGATCCCTCCTCCTCAGCCACTTAGAATGCCTGGGACTCAGGGTCAATTTTGCCAAGAGTCTCATGGCCTTGGTGTCTCCAGTACTACAGTTGGGCCTGCTCCGCATGCGGCCCCTTCGGTATTGGCTGAAACCGCGAGTTCCATCCTGCGCCTGGCGTCTGGGACGCCTTCGCGTCAAGGTAGACCGGGCCTGTACCGGGCAAGCTGAACCAAGGAGTATACATGCTGTCTCGGAGCAACGTCCCCTCAGAGGAGTGTACGCTCCACCCTCAAATGGTTCCGAAAATCTGGGAGATCTTCGGCAGGGCAGATGTCGACCTCTTTGCCTCAGAAGACAACTCTCATTGCCCAACTTACTTTTCAAAGGATAGGGACGCGTTGGCCCACGACTGGCCCCACCTCCTCCTTTACGCTTTTCCCCCGATTGCCCTGATCCCACAGGTAATCAGGCGAATCAAGGAGCGGAAACACAA